TCACAGTGCCAGACAACCATCCTAATGGGTCGTGAGCATCGTCCAGACTAGTTTCTAGACACGTGTGCGGGTGGGGCAAGATGTCCCCAAGACCAGCCTGACTTCAGAGATTCGCTAGAAGGACTCACTGGACCTGGTGTAGAGCTGTTCTCACAGCTAAGAACTATTATAACGATGTCATGAGGACACAGTCGGATCTTAAGGGAAAGACAGCGGTGGGGTCTGGAGGAGTCCACGTGCGGGTTTCCTCCTGTCCCCTCCCTGCCGTGAGGGCTACCAGAGCCACCTCCCCCAACAACAAAAACAGAGCAACTTGTGTTTGGTGCTTCTGCCCGGGGAGGCGTGTTAGAGCCTCAGCACACAGGACTTGTACTGGGGCCTGATCACGTCGGCGCCCTCCAGCGCCCTCCACCCGGCTTGCAGCAAACTGGCAGACTCCCCAAGGGGAGCGGGTGTCCAGCACAAACCATATTGTTTGTACGGTCTGGGCACGGTGAGCCAACCTCATCAGTTGGGGAACAGTGAGAATCCTCCCCAAATCCAAGTCCCCAGACCCAGCCGAGGGCCGAGCTGGCCAGCAGGCTTTCCAAGGAGGGAGCTGCCGGCCTGCTGTGTGAGCTCTCCCTGCACAGCTGAGACAGGGGCTCACCGGGCAGTTTCGTAGCCGGATTATGTCCACTTAGCACACACTTCCGAAACACTGCTTCAGGTTGATGACATTACGACGTCATACTGAAGGGCTCCAAATCTTTCATGATCTGGTTGTGCCATAATTAATTTAACGAATACCCTCTCCACTCCCAATGCTGCCAGATTTTTCCCATTATTAACAGCACCTGTAATGAACATCCTCTACATGTGTCTTCACACTCTTTTCCTATGATGCTTTTTGCCTTGCAGTGTGAATTTGTTTTCTTTTCTTCCCTTATTTCTTCTATCTGCCTCCCTAACTCTCCGCTCCGGGCCCAGGTAACCAGTTGTTTGCTGTCTTTCCTGAAGTGGAATCCTGCAGTTTACACTGCAACTTGCTTTTTCTCACTTGATGGATGGTGGGAGTGTCTCCAGGTCAATAGAGTAGCTCGTTTGTAGGAAGAGCTGCAGAATCCTCCCTCACACAGGTATACTGCACTGCATTCAACCATTCCTCTGTCACTCAGGTCACTGTGCTTTGTCTCCGTGAAGAGCTGTGGTCGACATGTGACACACACGCGATCCTCGCTTCCGGTGCCCGTCTCTGTTGGAAAGCCCATATGGGGCATTGCGTGTTCATCCTAAATGCTGCTGGCTTTGTCCTCTCAAGGCTGCGGCCATTCCACAGCCACCACCAATGTGTGAAGGTGCTTTGCCCCATGTTCTCACCAGCAATGGGTGTTGCCACGATTCTTCATATTTTCTAAATCTGTTGGCTACGAGGTGTTATTGCATTATTTATTTAATTTTATTTCCTGCCCACCTGAGAGGTTGGGCGTCTTTTCGAAATCTCCCAGCCACTTAGATGAGGGTACTTACCACTCACCTCACAGCCTTGCCTCGTCTTTGTCTCATCCCATCGCAACAACTCCTCCGATGGTGTGCTGTTTCTTTATCATGTTTTGCAATATTTTTTGTCTATTCTTCCACCTTCTAACTTTACATCATTTTCCACGTCGATCTGAAATTTCCACGATGTCACGTCTTTCCTTTCTAGTTTCTGGGATGCCTGGTTTTTCCAGCCTTTTTACAAATCTTTGTTGCAATTTTCTTCTTAACATTTGCACTCCCACGTGTTGGGGACACAAGATGGTGAGTGAGACAGAGGCACTTGCTGTCACTGGACTTGCTGTCCTGGGTGGAGGGCAGACAGGCCAGCCTCCCTGGAGACGGTCCAGAGGGGCCTAACCCGGATAGTGAGAAGCCAGCCAGAGGGGGCGAGAGGGGGCAAGGCACAGAAGCATTCTGGGAGAGACAACTGCACCTGGGAAGCTGATAAGGGTGCTTGGGAAGATGGGAGTCCAGGGTGGTCCGAGGGGTGTGGTGTGAGGTGACACAGGAGTGCAAGGTCTGTGCACGCACACCCTCGGAAGCCACATCACAGAGTTGGCCTTTAGCCCTCGGGTAACAGGGAATCTTCCCAGGGTTTCAAGCAGGGCAGCGACATGACCTGATCTGATCTTGAGGAGAGCATGGTGGGAAGTTGGAGGACAACGGGACCATCTTCCAAAACAAAGACTCCCCAGCCTCTTGACCTGGTGACTCCAACTCCCAGTATTTGCCTCATGGGTACACACACAGATACGAAATGACACATGTACAAGGATATCCAACACAGCCTTACTTGTAACAGCAAATGATTGGAAAGGACCACCACCGGGGCCTGGGTTAACAAACGATGGCAGAGCTACACTGTGGAACATCCCACAGCTGTTACCAAGGTCGGGGCAGCTCCGCGTGCAGACAGGGGATCTCTGTGATGCACTGAGGAAGCAGGGTGCAGCGCGGCAGGCTTAGGGTGCTCCTGTGCTGATCTGCAGACAGGAAACTGAGCACCGGGGGTGCCTCTGGGAAGGGGATTCACTTTTCTGCTAGAACATTTTGAATTTCATAATGTGCAAAAATTGAGTCAGTGCAGAAATACACCCATGCACCTATGCTTAATTTTTGACAAGGGTCCCAAGACCATCCAGTGGGGGAGGGAACAGTCTCTTCAGCAGGCTGTGCGGGGACAACTAGATATGCACACGCAGATGAGGCTGCCCACCTACCTCACACCATTTGCAAAAATTAACTCAAGATGGATGACAGACCTAAACGTAAGAGCTAAAACTATAGACTCTTACAAGAAAACACCAGGGAAAAGCTTCATGACATTGGACTGGTCAACGGTTTCTCAGATGACACCAAAAGCACAAGCAACCACAGGAAAAAACAGATAAGTTGGACTCTATCAAAACTAAATTTTTGTGCTTTAAAGGGCGCTATCAAGAACGCGAAAAGACAACTCACAGAATGGGAGAAAATAGTTGTGCATCATTTATCTCATGAAGGACTTGCTTCCAGAACTCCTATAGCTCAGTAAGACGAGGAACCCAGTTAAAAATTGGGCAATAGCAGCATTATTCACAACGGCCAAAAGGTGGAAACTCATGTCCATCAACAGATGGATGGATAAACAGGACTGGTGGACCCACACAACGGAATATGATCCAGCGATAAAAAGAATGAAGAGCTGACACGTTACAACCTGGATGAAACCTGAAAATATTGTGTTAAATGAAAGAAGCCAAACACAAAGGGCCACGTACGGCATGATTCTATATACGGAGTGTCCAGAATGGGCAAATCTACGGACACAGAAAGATGAGTGTTGCCTACAGCTGGGGAACTGGGGGTTGACTCTGACGGGTACGGTGTTTCTTTTCAGAGCCATGAAAATGCGTTGGCGTTAGACAGATAACAGTTGCACAACTGTGAATGTAAGTCATCAAACTGTACACTTTATTTTTTAATAATTTTATTTATTTTTCCCCCAAAGCCCCAGTAGATAGTTGTATGTCATAGCTGCACATCCTTCTAGTTGCTGTGTGTGGGACGCGGCCTCAGCATGGCCGGAGAAGCGGTGCGTCGGTGCGCGCCCAGGGTCCAAACCCGGGCCGCCAGCAGCGGAGCGCGCGCACTTAACCACTAAGCCACGGGGCCGACCCCGAACTGTACACTTTAAAACAGTGACACTTATGGTATGTTAATTATATCTCAAAAATTTTTTAAAAACCGTCTAGGTACAATGGTTTTTCCTTCGCTGTGGCTGCGGAGCAAGGTGGAAGGAGGGCAGGTCAGTCAGGAGGCTACTCAGTACCTGAGAGAACGGCTCTTACAGCCACCTCGGAACTGCCAGCACCTGTGTGGTCGGAGTTTTCTAGAAAGGCTGGACATTAGGATTTCTGAGTGGGAAATATCCCAGTTCTACTTATCGGCAAGAAGTAAAGCCACCTCAGTCACAGTGCGGGTCTGCAGGCCGCTCCGGGGCTGCGGGCACCACCTCGGAAACCACGGGAGGGCTGAGCTCCAGGGCGGGGTGTGGGGTGAGAAGTGCGGGGCTGGCACCCCGTCTGAGGGGCGGGAGGGATCTTCCTCCCAGGGAAGCTGCGGAGGGCTCCGGGAGCAGCCTGGGAGGGAAGAAAGCCCAGCGAGGGGAGGCCTCCCTGAGGAGCCGGAAGGGCAGTGTCTTGAGGCGGGAGTCGGGCACCAGGACAAGCCTGGCGGACAAGCCATGCCCCCCAGAACGGCCACGTGTCCACCTGCTGAGTCCTTCCCTGAGTTAATCGGGCAGAAAGATCTAGGCAGAAGGAATATTTTTATTTCATGACTCCACTTCCATGTGCAGCAGAAGCAGGACGCTGGTGACGAGTCCATTGGGCCCCTTGCCATGGAGGACGGAGAGTGGGGCTTGGTCCTGCCCGAAGCCCTCTTGTCCTGCCTTCTGGCTCAGGGACCTACCTCTGTCTCCTTACTCTCCTCCTCGACTACCAGAGAAAAGAAGGAGGGAATGTAAGGGGTCAGGGTCCCGAGGGCTCCAATTCAAGGTGAACGGGACAGCTGTACGGGTGCCCGGTGCAAGGCCTGCCCTCTGCAGCCTGGCAGGGGGGGCCCCCCCGCCATCCTGGCGCTGACCACCAGGGGAGGAGACGCCCCGCTCCTTGCGGTCACCCGTCCACAGGGGAAGGTGTGGAGCTTGAGGGGCTGGCGGCCGGGTGCACTGGGGGCCCTCCCTCGCTGTAGGACACCCTCTCCTGCTCTCGGCCGCCTTGCTCTCCAGCCCTGCTGCCCCACAGGGACGAATGTGGTCCACAGAGCACGTTTAAACAGGAACCAGCGTGTGAGATAAATCGTTACCCACTACGCAATCAACAGCTAGAAAAAGTCACCCCTCGGGCAGGATGCCCAGGGCGGCAGCAAACTGTGTCCGGAATTGGGCTTGACCTGTCTCTCGGGAGCAGTCCTGTGCCAGGGTGACCACACCAGAAACCGGCCGCTGCCAGCCCCCTTGGTCTCCAGAGCAGTCCTCAGGCCTGCAGCCAGGCATCGGGTCAGCGGTCCGAGGCTGGGGGCCAGGCTTTCTCCACGTCGGCGTGCACAGCCTGCGGGAGCCACTCGCAGTACTCGGCCAGCAGGTCTGCAGGGCGGGAGGGAGGACGGCGTCAGGGCGGCCGTGTGCCAGCCGCTCACAGCAGGGCAGATCCCCCGCCAGCCCCGGGCTGCCTCGGCGGGCCCCATCCTGTCCACTTCCAGCCCCCTGGCCAGGGGTGCCTGCCCAGGTCAAACTCACATTTGGGGTTTTTCTTCCAAGCAGCCAGCAAGGCGTCCCGGCAGTCAGCTTTCTCGGCAACAAGGGCTCTCAGAAGACTCTCTGTCCTGGGCTGGAGCCTGCCGACAGGATGTGGGTTAGAGGATGCGAGCCATAGGCCATCACGCTGTCTACACGCTGGCCACTGACAGGCCTGGTCAGGAGCCGCGGGAGGGGGCGGGCACCACCGCCAGGCCAGCCCTGCCAGGAGTGTGAAGGGTCCTCCATCAAGCTGGGGGTGTGGGCTGGATGGAAGGATCTAGACTCTATCGCCTCTGACCCCACCTCCTCCTCTGATCCAGCTGCCTGGCCTTCCTCACGTTCCTTGAGCACTCGCCCTCCCAGGCTGCTTCGGTACTCGCTGCTCGTGCCACCCAGAACTTTCCTCCAGATTTCTGGCTGGCTCACAGCCCCGCCTCCCTCGAGTCGGCTCAGTCAGGCTCTCCTGACCACCCCACCCTGCCCAACGCCTCACCCCCAACGTCCTGCTTTGTCCCTTTGTAGTGGCGTCACCACCTGCCACCTGCCCTAGTTACATTCTGGTTGCTGCCAACGTCCCTGCACGGGAACCTCCCCACGGGGACGAGGTCGGGCCTGCATCCCAGCACGAGAACATGCCCGCCACAGGCAGACGCTCAAAACTGTCTGCTGGGGTGAGTGACTTGGCTGGCAGCACCTGGCGGGGGGGTGCTCGAGTCCCCAGGAGGGAGTGTTGGTGCACGCACGCGCCTGCACCTTCAGGGGCCCCCGCACCATCTAGGATGCCAGCCTCGGGAAGCGGGGGCGTCTTCTTGGGGCTGAGCCATGGCAAAAAGAAAGCAGAAGGGAGGGGCAGGGAAAGGTGGGGAGGAGGAGGAGGAAGGGGGGAAAAGCTGGGGAAGAGAAGAACGAGGAACAAGGGGAGGAGGAGGGATAGGAGGATGGGCAGGAGGGAGACGCAGACAGAGAGGAGGAGGAGGATGGGCAGGACGGGGGTGGGCCGGTGCTCAGCTGGCAGGAAGCCCCCAGCGGCTCAGGGGTGCAGGATGCCTCCTGCTGACACCTGGCAACTCCGTAGTAGGTTGACCAGTGTCCCCTCAAAGGCTCATGTCCACCCAGAACGTCAGGATGTGACCTTATTTGAAGAGAATCTTCGCAGACGTTAACTAAGATGAAGTCATACTGGATTGGGGTGAGCCCTGAATCCGATGATGGTGTACACAAGAAGAGGAGAGGACAGAGACAGAGAGGACGGGCAGATAGAGAGAGAGACAGAGATGGGAGGGATGTGACCACCAGCCATAAGGAGCTGGAGGAGGCAGGAAGGAGCCTCCCCTAGAGCTTTCAGAGGGAGCGCGGCCCTGCCCACACCTTGGTTTTGAACTTCTGGCCTCCAGAACTGTGAGAGAATATATTTCCGTTGTTTTAAACCACTCAGTTGGTGGTCACTTGTCACGGTGGCCCCAGGACACTAACACCAGCTCCCCCCCACAGCCTGCCGCCCTGATGCTCCCGGAAAGCCTGTACCTGGCCCACGTCTTCAGCATCGTGCTGGGGCTGGACAGCAAACAGCCCTGGTATGAGGCCAGCTTGGGGAAGACCTGAGGAGAGACCACGGGACGGGGTGAGGGATCCTGGGCTCACATCCCGCCCACGGCACTGAGAAGGGGCCGAGGGAGCCGCCGGGCTGCCTACCTGCCCTTCCAGCAGAACCCGGGCAAAGTGCTTGTAGCAGTCAACGCCTTCTGGAAAATCCACCTGGACCACGGGCAGTGGCCAGCCGACGCGATCTGAAGGGCAGGAGCCGGTGAGCGAGGGATAGGGATGGATCCCCACAGCCCCCCAAGTCCCATCCCTGAGCCCGGGTGCCACCCACCAAAGGGGCAGGCGACTGAGATGACACCACCTATGTCACACACACCTCCTAGGGTAGGGTGTGGGACCCTGTGTCCGCTGGAGCCCAAGGCCACCAGGAAGTCACCCCAACTCACAGAAGACACTGGCCCGGTGACACAGCACCCGCCCCTTCTCGGGGCAGTAGGCGGGGGGCGGCTCCTCCAGCGGCTTGTCGAACTGGCAGTAAGAGGGCAGCAGGACTGGAACCCACTGGGCCTCCACGGTCGAGATGCCTGGGCCAGGAGAGCAGGGCTGGGGTCGCAGTGGGCACTGCTGCCAGGAGGGTCCCGTGTGTTCTCCCCACAGGGGCCCGGTGACACAGCTCACCAGGGCCACATGGGTCAGGCGAGGGGCTGGCCACCAGCTCTGCTACCTTTCATGTACATCTTGGTGGTCTCCACAATTTCCTGGTAGACAACAAACTCGGGGAGCTCTCTGAAAAGGACGGAACTGGGGTGGATGAAGACGGGGTCATCGAGGAGAGGCGTCTGCAGAGAGAGACGGTGCGTGGGCGTGAGTCCAGGTGAGATGAACCCACGTGAGTTCAACGACACACTCAGCCAGAGAAGCAGGAGCCAGCATGCCATCAAATGAGGAGTGGACACGCCAACGTGGTGCATCTGTGTGACGGACAGTGTTCTGCCACAGAAAGACACTGATATGCGTTCTGACTCCTGCTACACAGTGGATGAACCTCGAAAACATGACGCTGAGGGGGGAAGCCAGATACAAGAGGCCACGTGCTGTATGATTCCATTTATGTGACACGTCCAGAACAGGTGAATCCACAGAGATGGAAAATGGATTCATGGGGTGGGGAGATCAGGAAAAAACGGAGAATGACTCCTAATGGGTACAGTTTCTTTTCGGGTCGATAAAAATGTTCTAAAATTGACTGTGGTGATGGTTATGTGACTCTGTGAATATACGAGAAACCACTGAACTGTACAGTATGTGGTTTATGTCTCAATTAAGCTGTTGTAACAATAAAGTTGGGGGCAAAGCTAACACCCAAAGAAAGATTGATTCCACTGTACACCCCACCCTGTTCCTCAGTGGAAACTTTCCTGGAGGCCGCGGGACCTGCGACCGAGGAGGACAGGCCCACCCAGACCCCCAAGGGCCCCCCCTGGCTGCCCCTTGCCAGGTGTCCTGACGACGCCCAGGCTGGCAGGATGAGACAGACGGAGGACAGGGAGGGCGGGGGTAGGGGGAGCCTGGGCGCAGAGCCTGCCACGTGGCCCGCCCCCAGCCGGCGCCCAACCTTGTAGGCGTTCCTCCACTTGTCGTCCAACAGATCCTCGCTCTGGACCCTGCGGGCCAGGTGGTCACCCAGGCCGGCCGTCACGATCTGCCGCAGGTAGGTCACCTGGCTCTCGGAAGGCGGCTGCATCTTGGGGTCCACAAAGAGCCCGGCCTCAGGGCACACAGCATTGACTGGGGGGAGAGCCAGGTGTGAGGACAGAGGCGGCCTAGGGCTGGCTCTGCCCTGACCTTCTGGAAGGCTCCACACCACTTAACACGGAGCTCTGGCCTCAGTCACCTGCTTCTCTTGGCCCCTGTCTACTGAGGCTGCCGGGGGACTTCAGCAGGACAGAACTAGCTGCCCGCCCCACACCCACGTCCTCCTCTTCCTGAGGACAAAACCCCAATTCCTCTGGGGGCGGCAGAGTGTGCTGCTACGAGAGAACCTGCTGGACCTGCCCTGGCCTCCCCAGCAGCCTCAGCAAAGGGAGCCCGCCTGCCCGCCCAGAAGATGAGCGGGATGTCCTCTCTGAGCGTGTACGACAGGGCAGAGGCCACGTCTCCTCTTGAGTGGCCCTGGGTGCCGCTGAGGGGGAAGTCACCCTTGCTGCGTGAACCCGGGGCGAGACCGCATCCTTCCGCACCAGAGAAGGAGAGGATCTGAAGCTCTGGGGACATCTTGGATCGGGGAGTGGGGAGAGGAGGCAGGTCCTTGGGCCCTGCTGCTCAGGCGGGGAGGTGGCAGAGAGAAGACGAGAGGGGCAGGGAAGGAAGGCAGGGAAAGTGGATTTCTTTGTTCTGAGGTTTGCAACGTAAACCTCTGTTTTCCCTACAAAACCTTCCATGAGAAGTACGTTGTTTAAAAACAGAGAAAAGGAAAGACATAAGAAGGAAGGAGGCACCCGGGACAGGACACGGGAGCCCCCGCCTCCCAGACCCGGCCCTGACATCTCCGCCAGCTCCGACCACGAGCGAGCAGACAGTGGGCACTGAATCACCAGCTGCTCCCCGACCCCAACAAGGGCCCCTCCACAGCGGGAGAAACAAACCAGGGCCGGCCCTGCTCACGAGTGTGGACCCCAGGATCCACACTCGGCCGGCGGCCGAGGCAGCTGGGCAGGAGGTGGCGCAGAGCCAGTCCAGGCCAGAGCCGGGGACAGAGAGTGACGAGAGGGATGTCCCCAAGGAAGAGACCAGACCAACAGATAACCCGATGGGCGAGCACGCGCATGTCACCACTCTGCTTGTGCGCGTGTCCTCGAAGGACCACAAAGCACCAAGTGCTGATTTGGGGTTACAAATAAATTTTAGCAAGCAGGTGAGTTCACAAACGTGGAATCTGTGAACAATAGGGATCAACTGTACAAGGATAACACTGCTCAGAACGAGTTTTAACATTAGAAAGGGCCAGCTCAGGTTCTCTGCTGGGTGCTGCCGAGGGACGGGAGGACCCAGGAGCGCCTGGAGGCTGGTGTGGGGCTGTACCTGCAGTGGTCAGCTGGCCCCGCAGGCGCCGGACCTCCATCATGGCCTTGTACCGCAGCCCGTTGGCCTCGCAGAACTGGGGTGAGCAGCCGGCAAACTCACAGGCTCCCACGGCACCTGTGGACAAGGGGGCACGTTTACTCGCTCGCTGCCCCAGCCCAGGCCCGCCTGAACCTCCCCTCCCCCTCCAGGGCCGGGGCACACACCCAGCAGCACCATCAGGTCCCCGAGTTTCAGAGAAGCGCCTTGCCCAGCCCAGATCCTCTTCATCTGGGCCACCCGGGCCCGCCTGCCCTTCAGCTTGGCCAGCTCCTCCTCGCTGGCGGCTGGTCTGCAGACACACACACATATCACATGGGTTATTGCCGGGGCCGCCCTGGGGGCGGCAGGGGCAGGGCGCACAGGCGTGGGGACAGACAGAATGCGTGGTGGCATCACTCATCAACATGACTCATGGCTTAAGCTCCAGCTCAAAATTCACCTTCACGGCCAACAAGGATAAAAACCTGCATGCCTCCTAACTCAGCAATTCTACATCTAGAGAGTGATATAAACAAATAATCCAACAAATGAGTAACAACACACATTGCTGCACTGCTTATAAATAACGAACAATCCTGAAAACCGCTATGCTACCCACCAAGTGTGGACCAGGTAAAGGAATTATTCTCATGGTTCCCAAACCTGAAAACAACAGCTGACGCTTAGGCACGCATCAGGCACAGTGTGAAGTCCTTTATTGGTATTAATTAACTCAACCCTAACAACTCAATTACTATTAACATCTCATCCCCATTTTCCAGATGGGGAAGATGAGGCACAGAGAGGTGAAGCTGCCTTCCCAAGGCCACACAGCTTGGAAGTGGCAGAGGGAGATTTGAACCCAGGCGTCTGGCCGAGTCTGGGCCCTTAGCCATTATGCTACAGAGCCTTGACATCTGCAAAGCTCAGGGAGTTTTGTTAAAACAGAGTTCCGCAGAGATCAGAACACTGTCGGGCTCCGGGAGGACGGGGGGCTTGCACAGGCCACCCAGGAGCCAGTTAACCCTGGAGGCTGGGCTCCAGGTCATCTCTCAGGCCGGGGGACCCTGAATGCCCAGACCACCAGCCCCACCTGTCCAGCTCCTCGAACAGCTCCCGGACTGTCATGGCGGCCACGATGGTGATGGCGTAGGGGAGGCAGCCGTGTTGCCTGCTTAGTGCTAGCATCTTGGCATAGCGGGGCGCCACGGGGAACGTGGCCATGGTCTTGCCCAGCTCGGTGATGGGGCAGCTCAGCCGGGACGTCTGCAGCTGCTTCACCCTGGAGGACGGAGGTCTGCGGTGGGGGGCGCTCCAAAGGAGGCTGGAGTGCCAGAGCTGAGAGGCCCGGGCGCTCAGGGCAGCTCAGGAGGGGGTAGAGGGGAGTGGCCGGGAGTAGGGCGGGAACTGGGCTCTCCCTGCCATCCCCTGCCGCCCCTGCCCTGCCCCTGCCCTACCTCTCCGCTTTCCGGGGCGCCTGCAGGGCACCCAGCGCGATCAACAGCTCCTCGGCGGCAATGAGGGACTCCACGGAGGGAGGGGTGGGGAAGGGGAAGTTGATGACCTGGGACAAGGGAGACGAGGCAGGAGACAGGTGAATGCAGAGAAGCCAGCACGGTGACGGCAGAGGGAGCAAGGCCGGCCTGGCAGGCGGACGGGGCTCCTACCACTGTCCTCTGAGCACCCACGCCAACCGGAACCAGGGGCCTGGACACCCAGAAAGGGGCCCGGGCGCGCTCACAGCCCATGTGCCAGGGAGCCCAAAGCCTCCCTCCTCCACTGAGTCACATCGTCCACGCACTCAGAAGCACCGAGCGCCTAATGTGCGCCGGGGCTGCTCCTGGCGTTGGAGATGGAGAAAAGCACAAGACGAGGGCTCTCCTCCACCGAGCTTTCACTTAACCAAAAGGGGCCACAGACGACCAGCAAGGAAACACATAAATAAATGGGAATAAGAGTGCCCAGACAGTAAAATGGTAAGGGCAGAGAGTGACTCTGCCCAGGGACGGTGGCACCTTGGAAAAAGTGCCCAACTGCAAACAAGAGTTACGTAAGTACGTGTGCACGAATGCTCACAGCAGCTGAGGGGGAAACACCCAAGCATCCCTCAGCTGACGGACAGATGAACAGATTGTGGTCTGTATCCCACACACTGGGATACGATTCAGCCACAAAAGGGAATGAGACTCTGACACATGCTACAGTGTGGATGAACCTTTAGAACTTTCTGCTAAGTGAAAGAAGCCAGACACAAAAGGACAAATATTGTATGATTCCATTGATAGGAAATGTCCAAAATGGATAGCTCCATACAAACACAGCAGCCTCGTGGTTGCCAGGGACTGGGGGAGGAAGGAATGGGGAGTGACTGCCAATGGGTACGGGCTTTCTCTCTCTGCCTGCACCACCCCTCCTGGAGCAGGGGAGAGGTGGGCGACCCCGGACAAAGGGAATGTGAGGACGTTCCTCCCCCTCCCCCCAGAGGACTGAGTCAGAACATTCTGTGAGCCCCAAGGACACTGAAAACCCTACACACAGTGGGTGGGCCCTCTGCACGGCTTCTGTTCCAGGCAGCTGTCCCCCGGTGTTCAAGGGGTGCAGCATGGCGGAAGGGGGGCTCCTGGGACATGGGAAGGCCCAGGCGGCTGGGCAAGCACCTCCGGGCTCAGCTCCTGGCTCCCTGTGCTGTGGGGAAGGGAGCCGGCCCATGAGGGGCAGGGGCCACCCCACCAACCAGACCAGACACAGGTGTGCCGGGAACTCAGCGGGGAGATGGCAGGGCTGGGGGCTGCAACGGACCTTTTCAATGTTGAGAGCTTTCATCTGAAGGATCAAGTCTTCAACGGGCCTCCGGGTGATTTCGGGAGGAGGAAACTGCTCAAAGTCACCAAAAACCGCAGACGAATAGAGCCTGGGTGGAGAGGAGCACCAACAATGGAAAATGTGGATAAAGAGAAAAGAAACTCAGCCAAGCTCCCCGGCACTGGATCTGCACTCGGCCACTCACTAGGCAAGGTGTCTACCCTCTTCCTGCCTCACTCTCCTCACCGGGGAAACGGGGCTAAACCAGCAGCTGCCCGTCGGGGCTGGTGAAGATGTTCTAGATACCACATCAGAGCGCTCGGAACAGCACCTGGCTCACAGCACTCGGTCAATTCTAACTACTGTTATTGCTTACTAGTTTCTCAACTTTCTTTTTTTGTAATTTAAAACAACATTGAAAAGAACAGCAGTAAAGCTATTAAAAATAACAGCACACAGACTAAAAGAAACATTTGCCAATGATACCTCCGATAGGGACCTAACATCCAGATTAGATGAAGAACTCTTATAACTCAACAATAAAAAGACAAATAACTCCATCAAAAAATAAGCAAAAGATCCGACTACACATTTCTCCAAAAACATATCCAAGTGGCCAATAAGCAAGTGAAAAGATGCTCAGTGTCACTAGCCACTAGGGAAATGCAAACCAAGACCGCAGTGAGATACCACTCCACACTTCCATTTTCAAAAAATGGAAAATAACAAGCGCTGGCAAGGACGTGGAGAAATCAGAACCTCCACACACTGCTGGTGGGAACGTAAAATGGTGCGGCCGCTGTGTTGCCATCCCACACAGCAATTCCACCCCTCGGTACAGACCCATGAGAAACGGAAACAGATATTCATGCTAATACTTGGTCACGCATGTTCACAGCGGGACTACTCACGAGAGCCAAAATGTGGAAACAACCCAAATCACCAACAGATGAATGAATAAACAAATGTGTTCCATTCACACAGTGGAATACGATTCAGCCACAAAAAGGAGTGAAGCACCGACACCTGCTACCACAGGGATGAACCGTGAACACATCACGCGAGGTTGGAGAAGCCAGACACAAAGGCCACGTACTGCCTCAGGCCACTTACAGGAAATGTCCAAAACAGGCAAATCCATAGAGACACAGAGCAGACTGGTGGTTGCCAGGGGCTGCGGGGGCAGTGTGGGGAGAAACTGCCTGATGGGTGTGGGGTTTCTTTTAGGGTGACGAGAACGTTTGAAAATTGACTGTGGTGATGGCTGCACAACTCTGAATACGCTAAAAACCAGGGACTTGCACACTTCAAAATGGTGAATTTTACGGTATGTGAATTACATCTCGATAAAGCTGTTACCAACACAAAAACAAATCAGCTGAGAACAGTCTGCCTCCAGCTGTGGAGGGAAGAATGCAAGAACCGAAAGCCAACAACGGCTTGCGGAGGACGCAGGGACAGTCCCCAGCGTCACCGAGCGCACCCGGGGAGCCCCACCTGTAGCAGTGGCCGGGCTCTGTCCTGCCCGCGCGGCCCGCCCGCTGGTCGGCTGAGGCCTGGGAGACCCAGGTGACGCGGAAGGAGGACACGCCGGTGACACGGTCGTAGTGCCGCTTCTTGACCTTCCCGCAGTCCACCACGTACTTGATGCCCGGGATGGTGAGGGACGTCTCGGCCACGTTGGTGGCCACGACGCACAGCCGCGTCCCCTCTGGGGGAGGTTTGAAGACCTAGGGTTGGGGGGGGAGGGGCAGCAAGAAAATACCAGAATCAGGAGACTCGTGGGACAGAGGTGGGGGGCAAAGCCGGAAATTTCTCTCGATCAGAGAGAAGTCAGCCAGGCTGGGGGGGCCGGGGAGGGGACGAGGTCGACAAGTCCTCTCCTTTCTCTTTGCCTCCGGCCACAAGGCTCCTAAGCTAAACGCAGGGAAGCATTTCTATTCTCCAAGAACGAGACGCCAATACCCTCTCAAACATCTGGGGGTGCTGATGGGGCAAATGACCCAGGGCCTGACCTGCCCCCATTCTTGATGCCCTTAGGAGGTGCCCCCCGAGAGACGAGGTGGGCGCCCCCAGCCAGGCATCTGCCCGAGGCCCCGCGTTCTTACCTGCGCTTGCTTCTCCGGGGCCAGCAAAGAGTAGAGAGGGAGCACGTGGAGGGGCAAGGAGGCGTCCGGCTGCTCACCTGCAGGGTAAGCAGACGCCCGCTGGCACCCCACAGACCCTGGCAAGAGCCACCTCAGGCAGCCAGCACCCCCCGCCTGCTCTGCCGAGAGGTCCCTGCGCCAGCCCCACTGCCAGGGGCTCAACCCAGCACAGCAGGCGGACAGAGCCTGGGTGGACGTGAGAGGCTCCAGAAGGCTCTCCCGGCCCCACTGCCCTGCCCCAGGGCGGGAACGCCCACCACACTGCCGAATGTCCTCAGAAGAGCCTGGCCGCGGGCCCCACAGCTTGTTCTGGCGCCGCTGCCGCGTGGCGTGTGTGGGGTCCCCTATGGGCTTCATCCTGGCCCCACATCCCAGGGCCTGCATTCACCCAACAGAGCTGAGCCTGGAGTGGCACCCCCATTACAACCAACACAATGATACTCGACGGCCTGCTCTGTGCCAGGCAGCTTTAGCAGCTCAGGAAACAACAGGGCACAAAGCAGCCGGAAACCCCAACCTCCTTGGAGTTCAACACCAGCGAGGAGCAAAGACGCTTCAGGTCACCTCGCTTGACTCGGAGCCCCACCAGGGTGGGACACACAAGTCTGGGCTACAACAGGGCCTGGCACGGCAGGGGCTCCAGACACTTGCTGAGCGAATGAACAGAAGGAGCGGACGCCCTGCTGAGGGCACACCTCCGTCCGCTCCATCGTCTCTGTCGTCTCCCAGGTCCAGGTCGAGGTCGGAGCCCAGGGCTGCCTCCTCGTCGTCCATTTCCGCTGCCCTGTCCTCGTCGCCTTCACCCGCGGGCAACACGGAGTAACTGTCCAAACTGATCTGGGGCAACGCCTACAGTAAACAGGACATCAGCTCACAATCCGTTCAAGTACGAGGCCCAGCCTCACCACCCTCGGGACACGCCACCGTGGCAGGTCACGCAAGCTTTTCCTGCCTCACTTTCCTCATCTAAACAGGGCCCATCATCCTAGGACTTATCTCACAGGGCTGCTGTGAGCACCTTTAGCTAACACGTAAAGCACTCAGAAGGCTGCCTGGACACTGTAAACGCAACAGGAGGGTCAGTGACTGTAGTGACACTTGCCAACGGACCCACGGTGACATGGTGCAGACATCCTGGGGGTGAGCGCCCCCACAGCCTGGCCTGCCCCTCAGCTCGCACCCGCCCCCCGTTGTTCAGCAACCACCAAGGGTCCCTCGCCCTTGTACCGCCTGCCCTCCCTGGCGATCCCTGCAGGCCCTGCTCAGGGCCTGGCCTTCTGGAAGCTTCCCCTCGGCCCACAGCACAGGGAACCTTGAAGGTTTCAAATCACAGCCCCCCTGCAGCCTTTGGAGCAGCACCACCCAACAGAACTCCCTTCCACAGTAGGAATGTTCTAGACCTGTGCTGTCTGATACGGTCACCAGCAGCCCCAGGAGGCCACTGAGCATCTGAAATACATCTAAGACGACCAAGGAACTGAATTTTAATTTTATTTCATTTTAATTAAATCTACATCTACACAAGCACACAGGGCCAGCGGCCACCACACGGACAAGGCAGCTTCAGGGCCCCGAGCTGCCCCACGAGGCTCCACGTACCACTGCCTGGGCCTTCTTCACCCTCGCCCTCGACTTCTTAAACTTCCGCACTTCTTCTACCGAATCTTTCTGATCTTCCTTTTCTGGGCAAAGATGAGCAAGTTAGGGAGCAGACATCTTGTGGCCAGGGCCCAGTTATCAGGGCTCTGCTCCTCACTGTCCAGGGGAAGGTCACTGCCTCGGTGACCATTGATCGGGGGACAGGAGGGCAGGCAGCGGCGCCGACAGAGCGAGGCTCTGAAGCCACAGCTGACAGCCCCCAGCCGCTCGGGGTGAAGTGCTTCCCCGGGGAGTCGGGCTGCCGGGGTTACCTGGTGGCCTGGGTCTGGGGTGTGGGAAGGCTCTCCTCAGCCTGCGGCACAGGGCGTGTACCTCTGCCTGCCCCGTCAGGAACACCAGGATGCCGCCTGCGGAAGGAAGGAGGCCCCTCTGTTATCTGCTCACTCGCGAAGCAAACATTGTCTTAGCCACAATCATCTGCCAAGCCCTGCTCTGAGAGCTGGGGCGCCAGGAAGAGCCAGTCACACAGGACTGCAGACAGACGGGCAACGGGCAGTGCCTCCCAGACTGAGGGCGCTGTGATGGGGAGTCAGACGGAGTTACCGTACCACCCCGCAGTGCCACTCCTGGGCATGAGCCCAAACGAACGGGAAAGAGGGACGCAAACTCAAACCTGCAGATAGATGCTCACCACCTCCACTCACAACGGCCAAGAGGTGGACGCAACCCAGGCATCCACCAATGGATGAATGATAAGACGTGGTCTATCAATACAGACGAATATGATTCAGCCATTAAAAGGAATGAAGCACTGACACCTGCTACAACCTGGATGAACCCTGAAAACACGATGCTAAGTGACAGAAGACAGACACGGAAGGTCACTTACTATGTGCTTCTATTTATATGAAATGTCCAGAATAGGTAAATCCACAGAGACAGAAAGTAGGCTGGTGGTTGCCAGGAGCTGGGGGGAGGGGGAATGGGGAGTTAGTGTTGAATGGATACAAAATTTCTCTTTGGCAAACAACCAGATCAAAAAATGGGCAAAGGATATGAACAGACATTTTTCCAAAGAAGATATACAGATGGCCAACAGGCACATGAAAAGATGTTCAACATCACTAATTATTAGGGAAATGCAAATCAAAACCACAATGAGGTACCACCTTACACCTGCCAGAATGGCTATAATCACCAAGACAAGAAATAGCATGTGTTGGAGTGGATGTGGAGAGAAGGGAACTCTCCTTCACTGCTGGTGGGAATGTACACTGGTGCAGTCACTATGGAAAACAGTATGGAGATTCCTCAAAAAACTAAAAATAGAAATACCATATGATGCACCTATCCCACTACTGGATATTTATCCAAAGAACTTGGAATCGGGCCGGCCTCGTGGCTTAGTGGTTAAGTGCACGTGCTCCGCTGCTGGCGGCCTGGGTTCGGATCCCGGGCGCGCACCGACGCATCACTTCTCTGGCCATGCTGAGGCCGCGTCCCACATACAACAACTAGAAGGATGTGCAACTATGACATGCGACTATCTACTGGGGCTTTGGGGGAAAAATAAAAAAAAAAACAAAAAAACAAAGAACTTGGAATCAATAACACAAAGAGACTTATGCACCCTATGTTCATTGCAACATTATTCACAGTAGACAAGTTGAACCAACCCAAGTGCCCATCAACTGATGAATGGATCAAGATGATGTGGTACATACATACACAGGAATACTACTCAGCCATAAAAAAAAAGACAAAATTGTGCCATGTGTGACAACATGGATAGACCTTGAGAGTATTATGTTAAGCAAAGTAAGCCAGACAGTTAAAGACAAATACTGCGTGATTTCACTCACATGTGGAAGATAAACAAACACGTGGATAAGGAGAACATATTAGTGGTTACTAGAGGGGAAGGGGGCTGGGCAAAAGGGGTAAAGGAGGGCATATGTATGGCGATGGATAAACACTAGACTATTGGGGGTGAGCACGATGCAGTCTACACAGAAACTGATAAATAATAACGTACACCTGAAATTACACAATAAGCCAATATGACCTCAATAAATAATTTTTAAGAAAATTTCTGTTTGGCGTGATGAAAAAGTTCTGGAGATGGATGGTGGTGATGGTTACACAGCATTGTGAACATACTAAATGCCACAGAATTGCACACTTGAAAATGATTAGAATGATAAATTTTACCATAAAAAAAAAAGCAAGTGACGATAAGTTGAAGCCCTGGAGTGGCCGTGGCTGCCCAGGGAAAGGGCGTCCGTCACGCAGGAATAGAAAAGGGCCCTTGCAGAACCCCGAGGAACAGCGGCACCTGAGGAGGAGGAGGAGGAAAAGGAGCCACAGACGACACGGAGAAAAGCCACAGCGGTGGGGCGACACCACACAGTGAGGAGGTGGGAGCCGTCTACACTGTCCACTGTCACCAAAGAACCAAGCAAGACCTTTTTATTTACAAGTGTCAAGAGAGCTGATGGTGACCTCAGGAACAAGTTCAGGTGAGGACGTGCAGACGCCACACTACGCCGGAGGAGCAAGTGAGAAACGGAGGCGGACAACGTAGCAAGCTCTCAAGGAAGCTGGATGAGGGGGCAAGCAGGTCAGAGGTCAAGGGGGGTTTGCCCCACGATGACCTCTGAAAACGTTCAATGTGACAGTGGAAAGGGGCAGGTGGCGAGGAAGCAGATCGGGGAACAGAAGACTGAGAACAAGAGGCCTGGAGAAGCCAGAGGGAAGCGGGGTGAGGCACGGGACACACGTCTCCCGTCCTGATGGGACCGAGGAGAGAGGGTGCAGGAGGCCTTGAGTTCTCGGGTTTGACGTGAGGAAGCTGGAGGGTTCCTAGCCGACGGCCTCCTTCCCCTCTGCGAGGGAGGGGGTCTAAGAGCAGAGCAGCCAGCAGAGCAAGGAAGAGCCAACAAGGAACCAGAAGACAGCTGGGCATGGGGGGAGGCCCTTGAGTTTGCAGACACCAGTCCACAGAGGCAGCGTGGGGGGCCCCTGAGCAGCGAAGTGAGGAATACTGGCCACACTCACGAGATGGAGACGACGGCGAAGAGCGCACAGGAGTGGCCGAGGGGCAGATGCGGTGAAAGAGCAGGAGACGAGCCGGGAGCAGACGACATGCTCTGATGGGCAGACCCCCCACGCAGGGGAGGCCAGCTCCCCATACTCCACTGCTCCCAGACCCGAGGCCACTCTAACGCGCTCTGCCCGAGCCCCCGCCTCGGCCTCACGCCCTGACACCCCCGCCATCCCCTCACCCACCAGCTCAGTCTCCCAGAGAGAGGATGTGAACCCCGAACCCCAAGATGCCTTAAGCAGACAAGCACAGGGCATCACGGAACAGCGATGCAGCCTCCTGGCAGGACACAGGCAGCCTTGGCGGGAAGCATCTCTACTGCTCTCTACGTCTTAGCATGGAGGAAGCAGGCCTCGGGCCCAGCTGCAGCAGACCCGAGTCTCTGCTAGCAGTCACCATGACTGTCTCGGCTGCTGCATTCTCCTTGTGTGGTTCTCTCTATTTCTGGTCAGGAAAGCTGGTTCCTATCGATACTATTTCCTTTTGACAGACATTTGTTCACCCAGAGAAGGTCAAGCCAATTTAAGTAACAACATTGGGTAAACAGCTGAGCAAGTGTCACGGACGTGGTGAAAACTTTGAGGGGATCAGGAGTGAACCCAGGTGGGCCGCGCCTGTTCACCTGTCCTGCATCCGGGGGCACCTGTGCCAACTGGCACCTGCCCGGGCCCTGTGGACTGTTCTCATCCGAGTGGACAGAGGGCACACTCGACGCCCACTCTCACCCCACAGGGAGTCACTGAACCTCACAATCCTCTGGGCGGAATGCAGCAGGTGCTGTGGACACTCCAGAACCAGTGAGGAAACTGAGGCCCAGCCAGGACAGGGGACTACTCCGAGCCCCTCCGAGACGGGCCGAGAGCCCACACTGCCTGCACCCCGTGGGTCTGCAGGAGAAAGACCCGGCCTCTCTCCTCGCCAGGCCTCACCTGCGGGCAACATCCGGTGGATCTTGCAGACCTTCCGGAAGCACTCCCCGCTGTAGTCTTCCAGCGGAGTCCGCTTGTTAAAGTGAACCGTCACCGGGAACTGCCGGGACTCGACCTGCCAAAGACCCCAAGGAGGCATCGTGGGGTGCGGGTGAGCGTTAGCCCAGGCTTGGTCCCTCCCTTTCCTCAACTTTCTGCACTGAAGGCCTCAGTCTGGCGCTCAGCTCTCTAGCGCCTCTCCCACACTGTCAACCCTCCACGCGGCAGAGTGAGGTCTCTCAGGGGACCCCTGCTTCCAGGGTGCCCTCGTTCTGTCGAAGCTGACATGGGCCCCTCGTCACCTGGTGCCTGAGACTCCGGCCTGGGCGGTACCTTGATGACAGGAGGCGGCGTGGCAAAGAGCCGCGGGTTCTGGGTGAAGTCCTCCACCCGCAGTGTGGCCGACATGATGAGCAGCTTCAGCGGCAGGTGCCTCTGTGGATGACAACCTCGGTGACCCACGGCCACCCAGGGCAGGGGCGGGGGACTTGTGCCATCCCAGCCTCCCTCCAGCCCCCACCCGAGCCCCTTTTCTGGTTGCCAAAGATGCCAGACAAAGTGGCAAAGAGAGCTGACGGCAGGAGCTGCCTCTCCGGGGGCAGCGGCTTGTTAAGGGCAGTCTTTAAACTCCCCCAAGGTTAAGCTCTGTCGGCGGAACGTGAGGCAGGTGGGCTGAGCCTGGGGTCCACCCAATGCAAAGGGACAGCAGGCGTGGCTGCCTCAGTTCCTACCCCACATCATGACTACCTGTCTGTCCCCAAGGTTCAGGGAGGAGCGGCCCTGACTCTGGTGTGTGGTGGGGGGTCCCTGGTTCCCGGCCCCCTAGACGGCACCTGATGTGCCTCATGGTGGGTTTTGCTCTCAAGCCCCTGGACACTGTCTTCTGAGGCTAGTAGCCCCAAACCCACAAGCTCAAGGCTGTTCAGAGGGTTTGGGTGAAAAAAGCCCAGGGGAGAGGCACAGCGCAGATCAAAGGCCCCGTCTCCTCCCCACAATGACCCCAGGCTGGCCCCACGCCATGCACCTTCCTGCCCCGTCTCCTGGTTCTCCCCACCTCACTCCACTCGGCCACTCTAGGCTCCCTGATCCTCGAAAGAAACAAATCAGAATCACGAGATACCGCGTCACCCCCATGGGATGGCTAGGACTAAAAACATGGAAAGTAACAAGCGTTGGCGAGGATGTGGGAATTGGCACCCCCCGCACAGCACTGGTGGGACGGCAACACAGTGCAGCCGCTGTGGAAAACAGTCTGGCAGGGGGTTCGAATGGTTAAACGTGGAGCCCCTGTGACCCAACATTTCTATCCTAGGCACAGGCCCACGAGAAATGAAACGTGTCCACACGGAAACCTGTTCACGAATGTTCACAACAGCCAAAAAGTGGAAACAACACAAATGTCCATCAAATGAATGGATAAATAAATGTGGTCCATCCATATGATGGAATGTGATTCAGCCTTAAAAAGGAAAGAAGCACTGACACCTGCTACAACATGGATGACCCTTGAAAACATGATGCTGAGTGAAGGAAGCCAGACACAAAAGGCCACATACCGTATGACTTCATTCATATGAAATGTCCAGAACAGGCAAATCTACATACAGAAAGTAGACTCATGGATACCCTGAGATGGGGCTCCAGAGTGTGGGTGGACTGGAGGTGACAGCTAAGGGGTATACAGTTTCTTTTTGGGGTGATAAAAATATTCTAAAATTGATTGGAGTGATGATAACACAACTCTGAATATCCTGAAAACCACCGAATTCTACGCTTTAAGTGAATCCACTATATAGTATAAAGCTCATTACAAAAAAAAAAAAAAAATACCAGCTGGCTTCTGCCTCAGGGCCTTTGCACCAGCCATTTCCTCTACTCTGAATCTCTTCACTGCGGTGGCCACCGCTCGCTCCTTCATTTCCTCCAGCCCTCCACTCAAAGGCCACCTTCCCCATGAGGCCTTCTCTCACCACCAACCCTCTACCTTCCCCGCCTCCCTGAGTTTGTCCATCACCAGCTCAGACTCTCTGAGTTTCTTACTGCCAGTGGCCCTCACTAATGCGGAAGACCTAGGAGGGCAGGAACTGTGGTCCTATCCACTGCCGAGTGCTCGGTGCCTTGAACGTGGCCCGGCACACAGCACACACAGAAGCAGCATCCGCTTGACGAACAGCCTGCACTTGAGAATAAGGCACAGTCAACCTCTCAGCAGGACGGGCGGGCTAGAACAGGACTGGAGCCCCACCCCAGGGCGGCCTCCTCGACCCAGCAGGCCTCTGCCGTCCACCTCTGCCCGATCGGGGGTGGGGTGGAGAGACTGGGGGAGAGGCTGGTGCGGGGCCGGGCACCGGGCAAGCGTGTCCGAGTGTGTGGAGCTTGGGGCTTGGCTGGGGGCCCTACTCGCTCTGTGGATTCTGAAGACCTGCGGGCGCCTTAGAGCCAGCTCCACATGAAGCCTGGCCCACCACGAACTCCTTGCTTGAGCCCCTCGCTTTGCACGGGGGGAAGGGTCACAGTTTACGAGGCTGGAGCCAGGATTCCAAGAGGGTGGACGTGTAGATTTCCACTGAGACCCTCGGCACAGCCCTGGGCCTGGGGGACCCTGTCCTCGGGAGACCCTCTCTCAGCAGCACCCCGGGGGCAGAGGGCGTGGGCCAAGGGAGCCTGGGACATGGGGGCTCCCGGCACCCCTGCCTCCTGCCCTACCTTCGCTCGGAGGGTCACAATGCGGGACAAGAGGCCGATGAGGATGTCCGTGTACACACTCCTCTCGTGGGCTTCATCGAGGATCACCACCTTGTACTTCAGCAGCAGGAAGTCCTGGGGAGAGGTCAGCAGGGTGAGGCCTGCCAGCCAGGCCTGGCCACCCTGGGGCCACTTCACACACCACAACTCCCACTCGAGGAGCCCGGCTGATAGCCGGCACAGGTCCTGGAGCACTCAGTCTGGGGAAGTCCTGGTCTGTGACCTTGGGCAAGTTACTTCACCTCCCCATGCCTCAGTTTCCTCATCTGTATTATGGGGACAACAGGACCCACTGCACGGGGTCACGGTGACGTTTCAATTACAATCACTATCTGTAAAGGACACTGCATGGGGCCTGGGACCTGACAGAGAAATTGCTAGGGAAAGGGCAGCCACTATTTATGAGAGCTGAGCTACCAAACGCAGATGCTATGGGGTGGACAGGGCTGCAGGAAACAGAAACGAGATGTCGGGTGGGGACTGAGGGCAACTGGACATGCAGGTCACACAGAAAGACACCATCAGACCCCACACCATGCTCACACCTTCCTGAGCAACCCTGGCCAGCCTTGAGGCAGAGGAGGCAGGAATCACCCCTGCCCTCCCCAGAGACCCCTGCCGGGGGAACGTCACACAGCCAGTGAGGAGCAGTACGCCAACACACACAGTCTGTAAACTGAATCATAATAAAAATACAAGCTCACGTTAATGAACACCTATCAGGCATCGTGCTAAGGTGCTCTCACGCATTATACAATTTCTGCTTCAAAACAATTATACGAGGAAGGCACCAGCTTGCAGATCAAGAAACTAAGGCTCAGAGAGGTTAAGTAACCCACACAGTGGCACAGTGGTGCATCTTGCTTTGCCAACAGTTGGCAGGCCAGCTGCTCACATGCCGGGTGACATTCTACCTCCTTACCTCTACTGGCCTTGCTTTGTGAGACAAGACAAGCAACCAACCTTCTGGATTTCCTTGAGCAGCACGCCGTCCGTCATGAACTTGATTCTGGTCTCCTCGGTCACATTTCCTTCGTATCGGATCTGGTAGGAGACAACCCTGTGGGGACAGGACACGGCTCAGGGCAGGCGAGTCCCCAGAGCTGCAGCTGGTTGGGGCTGTGCCATGCGGCCACTCCAAGGTGGGCAGTGGAGGCCTGGCCCCACTGGGCAGGCGGCCAAGGGCAGGGACCCCAGGTCCCCCAACAAGGCCCAGACCGGGCCGGCCCCGTGGCTTAGAGGTTAAGTGCGCACGCTCCGCTACTGGCGGCCCGGGTTCGGATCCCGGGCGCGCACCGACGCACCGCTTCTCCAGCCATGCTGAGGCCGCGTCCCACATACAGCAACTAGAA